GGGGGGGGGGGGGGGGGGGGCGTAGCCAACCCTTGCTCCCAGGCGAGAGAAGCCGCCTGAATCTCCAGGAAAGCCTGCCCAAGTATGGCAAGCGTTCTTTGGCAGAAATCGCAGCTGCAAAGTCAGTGTTGTCATGCCTGGCAACATGGCACAGTGCCTGGTGCATCCTTTGTTGAATGTTTCGCTTGAAAAGCATGAAGCCGAAGTTTCGAGATTTCGTCGCTTCAAGGTCAACGCCCGGAAAAAGTGATGGCGAAGAGGAAGCAGCGGATGATAAGGTGGGCATAAACCGCCCCAGTGCTGAGAAGTGTGGCAAGTCCCTTGCGTTTCATTCGTTGCCGGGTATCTTACATCATCGTGGTCCACGGTGCAGGGCTAAATACAGCGCCGGAAGCCCATGTAGTAAGACTTGTGACCGGCCGGCTGCAGTGCAGCCTGTCGTGCTTTTGAATGCCTGAGCATTCCCTAGCTCACGAAGCCTGTGAAGGTCAGCTTCTCGGTCATTCGAGGAACCCGTTCCACGAGGACGACGACGACGACAGGCGAGCCACCCAGCAACTTGGCCAATGAAGCGGCGGCTTGCCAGTGTTCACGGGCCATGTGGCAGATGGGCTACCAGGCATTAGGCAAGGGGTTGGTGCCCGGTCATGACGGAAGCAAACAAGGTCAGATCCCTTATAACTTATAACCTCCGGAAGCCTTTCTCGGTGTTGAGTTTAATTTAGGTTCATGAGAAGGTGCTTGGAACTGAGGAAAGCCTTGGTACATTATCAATCCGCAGAGCAATGCGTTTGCTACATGGCAGCTGATCACCACAGTGGCTCTCGGCTTCGTCGTGACGGTTGTGCCTTACCAAGTGGGACTGCTGGAGCTTGCCTGGGATTTTCTGCTGATTGCGAGTTGCTTGGTGGATCTGGTCTTTCTGGTCGACATGGCCCTGAACTTCTTTACTATGCCTCCTGCCATCAAGGATTAAAGTTCAAGATATGTTCTGCGGTGATTAGTACGAAGTAGGATTTATGCGGTTACCTTTGCTTTTGTGCTTCTCGTCCGGAGCTGGGAGCCACCATTCGTGCTCGACACTGGCGCTGAAACTGGCGCGGGGAAGGGGGAAGAACCACTTAGACGAAGTGGAGGCGAACTAAAACGGCTATGCCAGGTTATCAGTTCAAGTGTGGGGACGGGTTGATCATGCCAAGCAAACCGTCGCAGAAAGCAATTCGGTGCTTTGTGTTTCTGTTTGCTTGGACAGGTATCCCCGGACGACGGCCCGTGGCATAAAGTGGGAAGACAGCGTGGAGAAAATCGCGAGGCACTACCTGTCTGGCTGGTTCTTGATCGACTTTTTGACCCTGATTCCCTTCGACATCATTGCATCTTGGCTCTAGGCAGCTTGAAGCCTCACGGACCTCGGGCCTCGGGAACTTCGCATACAGGGATACGGACATGACATGATAACTGTGACAATAGAAAGAAAGAACAACAAGAACCATAAAAGTAGTAGTAGTAGTAGTAGTAGTAGTAGCAGCAATAAGAGTACCAATAATCGTCAGATTACTACCGCAATGATAGTACTTATCCCTCGAATCATAGTACTTGTAGCAACAATAACAGCAGTTCTTTCTATGTTGTTCTGATAATTACTATGTAACTCCGATTATTGCTATCATTCTAACAGTTGTTAATATGACTATAGGTATGCATATTAATCGTGGTATCAATAGCACTAGCCATATTATGGCCATCATCATCATCATCACCATTATTATGAATGTTACTGATGCCATTTTTCTATTCGCAACCACAACAGTCACAACAGCTAACGAATAATGAGAGCAAGATTGACAACCATCCTTAGTCTTAGCATTTTTAATCAAGAAGAAGCACATTTTCCTCGGCCCAGGAGCTTACATCAGGAGCAGCAGGTATGGGAGTGGGCAAGGCAACCAAAGCCGTCCGGGCATTGCGTCTGCTAAAGCGCCCCGGTGCATTTTGGGGTTTAGGCTTTAACGGTTGGGCTGACTTGTATTTCGTCAGTATACAATAGCCGAGATTTATCTTCTTGCGCCATCTTGCGCCTACACTTACGAGATGTGTAGTTGCGCAGACTGGATTTGCACAACACTCACTTACTTTTCAGTTGGCCCTTTTCGTTTTCATTAGTTTCGTTGTGGTTCTCAGTCGTTTTATTTACGCTGCTTTCTGTCATGAAATGCAGGTTGTGAAACGGAGCCACACCAAGACCCAATCTAAACTCGGGCAAGTGGAAATACTGATGTGCGTGAGCAGCCTGAAGATGAATTTCCAAGCCAAGCTGAACATGAAATGAGAGGAACCACGAGCCTGAATGCGTCCCCTGTAGCTTGCAGCATTCCAGAAGGCTGTCGCCACACACATCGCTCGTAGCTTGCGTGCAGCTGCTTTGTGCTGAGTTGACGGATAATGGCAGGCATGGGTACAGTGGTCACTCCGCCGTTCACTTGAAAACTGGGTACTAGGACTTGCAGTTGCAAGTGCTACTTAGTGCTACTTGAATTGAACGCTCAGCCCGAACGGCGTATTCTGGTCAAAACTCAACGGCGCAACTGGTGCTCAGCCCGTTTAGAGAGTGTTACGAGACTTTCGAACCCGAGGCTTATGCGCATTTTGAAAACATCAAGGCCTGGTCATGAATTGTTGGGTGTTCGAGTTTTTCCGGTTGTTCAGGAATCGGATGCGGAGATCCGCTTGGGGCATGTTGGGGGGGCAAATCCTGTGCTCAGGGCCTCTGAAGGCCAAAACCGCTCAGTTTTTGGGACCTTTTGCAAGCGTGGCTATGGCAGGTGGCTGCACAAGCTAGAGATTGCCATCTCCATCCCGTACCAGCAGTTTGCTCTAGCTCGGTTTTTGCTGATCTTATTACTGGTGGCTTGGCTTGGCAGTGGGTGACCCGAAGTCGTTGCTGCACAAATCCCCAGTTGTGTGCTGATCTTCGCAGGTTTGCCATTGGCTGGCTTGCATTTGGGCTATGACTCTTCAACTGGCAAGCGATGACTACCCACAGTGGATAAATGATATCGAAGTGGTTGATATCCAATTCGGCATCTTGGCAATGCCAGCCGTGTTTTCATGCCTCATGACTCTAGCAGGTATTGCGTCGGACGTCTGCTTGACTTTCCACGGTTTAAGCAGAACTACCACGGACGTAGTAGATATCCCTGACAGAGCGGCAGCCCAAGTCTAGGCCCCAGGCAGCACATCAAAAAATCATGTCAACATATCTACAGAATCCACCCTATCACCTTTTCTCAACCATGCTGAGTCGCCGAGCCTGGCGAGTTCGGATTTTGACGAGTGTATTGTGTGGGGCTTGATTCGGGATTTCTGATGGCTTTGTGAGCCTGCATCTGGTCAGGATGGAATCCTGTTCCGAGTTGAAAGGGAACGGGCTTTGGGCTTGGGCGAACCCACGGCCCCCTGGCTACGCAGGTATCTACACCAGAAACGAGCCCCATCGCATATATTTGAGTGCTTTCTATTTTTGCAGCTATACGATGACATCTGTTGGCTACGGCGACATCGGTCCGAAGATTCCGGGCTTCATTTGAGAATTCGATTGTCCCGTCAAGTCTCGCCCAATCACTCTGTCTGCGAAAGAATGACGCACGGCTCAGGAACCTTTTCGAACGATCTGTTTGCACGGTGATTATTTTGGCCGTGCCCTGCCCGCTTCAGCCACCACGTCATTCCTAGCCGTTGCGTTGCGGCATGTGACGACGCAAAGCTCTTAAAGATTTCATGGATCTGCACGGCGTTCTGTGTGTATTTTTCGTTGCTGCCGGGGTTGCAGCAGGAGATATTAGGAGTTGCCTCACAGGCTGGCCTTTGCTGGGCCTACGTGCTGGGCGAAGTTTGCGCCATTGTAAGCGACATGAACTCCGAAAGTCAGGCCAGGAAGTTGTTTGAGTACACTGCAGTATATCATGGCGCGAAACTGGACGGGATCAGTAGACTGTTGGCAACCCGCGCCAGCTAAAGCACGGCAAACGAGTGAGATTTTCGCGAGGCCTTCCGGAAAAAGATGACGGACCTGAACACCATGATGTGGGAGCAAGGGCTCCCCTACGAGCTAAGATGCCGGCTACGAAGTTTCTTTCTCCAGAACCGACACCAGGCTTTGCGTTGGGACTGCGCATGTGGTAGTTCCACCGTAGACCGCAGACTCGAAGCTGCACCATCGCTGGCAGGCGCTCTACGTGACCAGGCAGAAGCTTCGCGATAGCATGAGCCCACAGCTCCAGTCCGAGGTGTGCATTGCACTCAACTTGGCTTGGATTACGACTCATGTCTCAGTCAATACTTGACAGTCTGTGCATTCGTGAAGACTTTGTTTGGAGCATGGTAGGTATCTGGTAGCGAATTTAGTGGTGCTGGTTCGCCCACAAAGGAAGGTGACGTTCTTCAGCCAGTTTATGACTCTCATGGAGGAGAATCAAGCAAAGGGAATGGACGTCGATTCGTACCGAATTGTCATCTCAGACATATCTCGTGAACTGGAGTGCGGCGCTTTCGCTCAAGGCGAGCGCTTTGACAACGTACAGGTCCTATACATCCTATCCAAAGGACTGGTCGCATTGAACAGCCGAGTCGGTAGCAACGGCGCAGTTTGGGGTGAAGACTTCGTGCTGTCCGACCCATCGCTCATCCGACCCGTGCGAGGTTTCGCATTGACCTACCTGGAAGTCTTGAACTTGACACGTTGGAAGTTCATGAGAGTTATCGAACGGCGTAAGCTGACATGTCCGCAGCTTGGGCAAATCGTGCGACGCTTCTGTGTGCGGCTTGCGGTACGCAGAGGTGTTGTTGCCCACACCCGACGTATCCAGAGACTGCGGCTATCAAGCAAAGACGGTGCAGACCCCACAGCCAGCACGAACACAGAGTCTTCGCAGGCCGGCCAGCATGTTTGCGAGAGAGGGCTGTGTGCTTCGGTTCGATAGTAATGAGAGTTTGAGAGTGGATTGTGTCTTTATAGGCATTGAAAGCCCCTGCTCGTGCTTCCATCATACTTTCCAGTTGCTGCACCATGTCCAATCATGTCCAGGGTCCAGCATGCCTGGCCAGGCAGCGGAACGCAGACCCCAACAGTTGCCATCACCGCCTCAAGCTCCACAGGGAATTTACCAACCATTTGGAAGTCTTCCGGGAGTGCTTGATGACGTGGAGCGTCACGATGTTGACCCAAGGGACCAGGACCCACGAACGCGCCGCATGTCACAAGGGCAGCTGGAGGACATGTGATTGTCAAGCAGGCTGTGTTTCACAAACACGATTGCTCCCTGTGAATGAAAGAAGGGGGGCAACAAATACTTCAATCACGACGTTGAATATGTAATTCTAGATTTTTCTTGCACGAGTTGCCAGCTCATCGTAGCTGCAACGAGACCGCGCCTCTTTGGCACATAGTTTTGCTCCTCACTTGCTGGGCACTGCCCACATGCTGTCCCTGCAATCTGCTAAGCAGAAAGTGCTCGCTCAAGTATTGCCTGTGACCACGGAAAACCAGGAGACTAGCATGCAATGCAGCCATCAACATTGCATCCTGATCCTATGTGGCAGCAGCGTGCAGTGCCAGGGCTGAGATGCTTGCGCAGAGTTTGAGCCATAATTGCTCTTGGTGTTGCTTTGTTGACATTGGACTTGCAGGAGCTGTTGCGAGCAGCACGAAGCATCACGCAGTCGGCGGGTACAATGGTGGGTGATTCCTACGAGCAGCTCAGCACGGTCAAGCAGAAACTGAGCTTCAATCCTCGAAAGAAAGAGATTGAGAGTGCCAGAGTGCTAAGTTTTGTTAGATGCGAAGTGCCTGTGAACGAGAGTCTTGCGCTTTGTTATGCTTGGCTTAGCTGCGTGCGAGACTTTTCCGTATGAGTGTCCCAGCTTGCTGTCCACAGTACAGTGGCCGTACCTCGCAGGGGGGGAAACCAATTGGAGAGCAAAAGCAAAGTGTAACCTCGACTTGTGGTTCTGACCTGCGGGGGATGAGCCATTCCAACTTGAATGAGCTCAGTCACGGGCGTGTCGTTGTGCACAGGGGCCAGTCCCTGCAGCTTGGAGCGAAGAGCGGAGAGAATGAGCAAACCCCGAGGTGCCGTGACTCGAGAACAGCTGCAGTAGGCGAGAGTCCGAGGTCGCACCTGCACACGTTGAATGCGCTGAAAGACTCAGAGCCGCCTACCACGCATGGAAGGCGAGAGCAAATAAGGCGCGGACGGCAGAATTCACGAGACTGTTTGCTGGCCTTCTTCCACTCCGAACGCATGCTCCCGACAAATAAGCTGCCTGCGACTCGTTGCTGAAAGCCAGGCGAAGCTTGCGGGAGCCCACGTACGTCACCCGACGATCGTCGTGGTGGCACTGCCTTCCCGGGCGTTGCTACTTGGACTGTGCACCTTCCGAGGACGCAACCTGGCAGTGGTTTCTTCCCACGGAGAAATTGTACCGAATGACTGAGTAATTGTACTGTATGCCTTGCATGCGCGGCCCCGTTTTTAAAAACATGCGAGCTTGAACCATCAGTGCCAAGTGGAAACAGTTCAAGAGCGTCGAAGGAGCTGCTGCAGTACCTGATGCGATAGTTGTCTGGGGAAAGTGTCGGGGCAAAATCAACCAAGGGATGCAGGTGTATAAGGTGCAGGGCTTGAGGCCACTGCTGCCGAGAAGGCTGGTCCTGACCCCAATTCCTCTGTACGCACTGTACTGAACTGGTCGACTCGTAAAGAAATGCTGGCGCAGGTCGGGAGTCTGAGTTCTTTTGTGCGGGATCGCACCTCCAGACTCGTTCTCAATTTCGCGAGCCAGAGCATGGAACGTCGAAGAGCGTCCGAGCAAAGTGTTGATGCCCCAAATTGCAGGACCGTTTGGTCGACCTTTCATGCTGCATTTGCAGATTACAGCTGCTGAGCAGCTTGTCTGCACTGTCGGATGACTCCCGTGTGTCGTGTGCCTTTTTTTGTGGGCCGTGTGACTATTTTCATGCATGTTTGATGCCGCCCCGAGTTTTGATATATGAATTATACTAGTTATGAGTCTGAGATGCGACGGTGCTAGGACTGCTTGGATACGGCCAGCCAAAATGGTGGCTGCTCCAGCAGGTTTTGAATGGTTTCTGGGCGGAATCACCAACCTCCTGCTTCGGATTTCAAGCTGCCGTCTTCCTGGGTCGTAGCGCTTAGGGCGAAAAAACTGCGGATGTCTGAACCGTTGGGAGCCCGGAGGTGCAGACCATGCTTTGCTCTTGCTGGCTCTGCTTGTCGGCATTGTGCTGACGCTCTGCAGCACAAGACTCGGCGCACATGCTTTTGACATGGTGGTCCCAATATCATGTCCTGCGTGGTGTGAAGCTTGTCTCACACGAGTAACGCAAGCCAAAATCCGTTACAAGCGGCCAAGGATAGCAGTCACAGCGCTCTTCCCATTGCTGAGCACGGATAGGACCTGCAACCGCATGATGTGCAGAATGCTTTGATGCTGCGACATTTGGAATGTCAAGTTTGCTCGGAGGACCTGGCAAAAAGTTGGGGTTGACTTCCTCTTGGATGCGGCTCCGGTTGCCATCTACGCGGCCTTGTTGCAATTGCAGTCTATGTGGTTCAAGATGGTCCAGCCGTGTAAAGTTACGGAGGCCCCTTGCCTCGAACTTGTGCAGAACAGTTCTTGGCCGCTTTGTCCAGGTGGTGTGCTTAGCCACGCTTCTTGCTCGTATCGAAAGGATCAGTGGCTTGCCAGCAACCTGGGCATGGGTCTGGCCAAAACAACTTGTTTGTCTGCATGTTGTGTGTCTTTGAGAATGACCTTTGGCGAGGTGCCCTAATTGCAATGCGGCGGGAGGTGTATCAGGCACAGGAGATGCAAATCTTTGCCGGGGCTGTCAAGGACACTGCCCGACGAACGGTTCGTCGCATAGACACAGGTCGCTTGTAGGTTCTAGGCATTGTTGAAAGGAGGTTGCCGACGTCGTTTCACCGTGATGCGGAGAAACAGCATACAACAGTTGAAAGGACGACTTGCTCAAATATTGGGCTGCCGTGAGTGACATAACTGAGTCTTGGATCAAATCAAACAGATGAGCAGGTGAGGTTGCTTCATCTAGGGAGAGTGGGTCGCTAGCAGCTAGCACTCAGGATCTATGGTGCAACCGTACATTGCCGCGCCTGGAGCTTCTGAAGGACTGACGCTGAAGAAGACCTCTCCAGTGGCATTTCATCTAAGCAGTGTTTGATTGAGCGGGTGGGCACCCCCACAGGAAAGTGTTGATGTATGGTGTTTTCATCTTTAGTGTCGGTGATTTTTGATTGCAAAAGCTGTCACTGCACCGGCGAAGCGAGCCTGCGAGGGTAGTCGCAACGTCATCGGGGTTCCGGGGGCGTGACCCCAAGCAGCAGGTTCAGAGCCGACGAAGTGCCATGCATGAAGCAGCCTAGAAAGAGACAGACCCAAAACAGTTTAACGCAAACGGGGCGGGGGTGGCGCCTAAATGTGCAAAGGAAACAAAGGAGTTTGCTGCGAGAGTAGAGGTGGTGACGGTGGTGACATCAGCTGCAGTAGAGGCAAAGTTGATGATCAGGTCAAATTTCCAGTGATATGCCAGTGCCAACAATAAAAAGTCGATACAGGGCCAACTTAACTACGGGCGAGTACGAAGTAACCCCAGGGTCTTCAAATCCGGAAGGAGCTGCACTGTCAGCTCAGCTCCTCTTCTCCGGAGCAGCTAGCAACGAGCCTCCGTGACCTCAACGGAGCCCGCTGCATGTTTGAGGGTTCCTTGAGAGGTTCAGGTTGAGCCCGGTCCGGTGCATTGCAACGAGCTGCTTTGCTGCGAGACCGCTGTGCCAGCGGCACATTCCACCCAGTGCCAGGCCGTCTATGCAAGCTGGAAGATGCCGTCGGCGATGTCAAGGTGTCGGCTTTGCTTCGGATAATGAGAAATATACTGTAAGGCTTGTGGAATGAGCTTGCCCCGCCCGGCGCAATCATGGGAGGGGCAGGGTGTCAGCTAGAAACCACCTCTCTCATGCACTGCTGGGTCAGCAGAGGACTGGTGGACAGCGCAACATGAAGGGAGCTTTGGTCGCAATGCCACAATTCAATCAGAGACTGACACGAAGAGCGAGAGAAGTCATGGTCGACAATTGCGGTTTGCAGTGCCGAGCCACGGGCTTGTCGGAGAAGCCTGTGGCACACTTAAGTCTAACCCCTGCATGGATCGTTGGACGTGCGAGCCACGATGCTGCGCTCAGGGTTGCACCTTAAACCTTAAAAACTCGTTGGGGAAGGAAGACACCCCTTTGAGGGTGATGGAGTTTGCACAGGAGCACGACGAGGAGTTAAGTCTTTTCAGTGCTCGCTCCCATGCCGAAGCTGTATCCACCATCCTACTCGGACCGTTTGTTGTGTCTGTTTGGGCTGGGTTGTTATGCACCACTGTAAGCCGGAAGGAAGCAACGCAACTTCGGTACAAACGCGACTCAGCCAACGAGTCGACGAGAGCATGGAGGCAACGAGACGAGGGTCGGAGAAGAGCAAACACAATTCTGCAAGACACTTAGGAAGAAGGCCACGAAGCGGAATAGTAAGAATTGGGCAACTTAGGCGAGCTCCGCAACTGCAGCCACGCGTGCCTTGCCTGGAACTTCTGCTTGAAGGGCTCGAAGCGACCTCGAACTTCTCATTCGGCTTCGTTTCCAGGTTAGCATGCTGCTCCGCTCTCGGACTTTGGACGGATTGGAGGCCCAAATGCTGCCTTTCGATTTAGGGTGGGTGGACTCCAAAAATTATGCAGACTAGGATGACAATTTGGACTTTGGCCTGCGGGATTTAAGAACGGGCGAAGCTTGCTCCAGCGAGTAAGGCTTTTGGCAAAGGCACGTGTACCGAATTCAGTGTGAGCTTGAAGGCTGCTTGCTGTGACTCGCTGTGAAGTTTCATGTCGAATGTTGCCCTTAAGAAGCAGTTGCGGGGAGTGCTTCTCCAGTACCAGCATGTACCAGCCATGCAATGTATGGGGTGCTGGAAACAGTACATACAGGTCTCAGAGTTTGGTTTTTGAGTTCCCTGTTGTTGAGTTGTGATATCGATGCGAGGACTGGTTGTGGTGAGAAAGTGCTTTTGCTGGCTATCGAAAACGTAAACTTTAAGGGGTAATGTGGAGGCTCCTTTGAACCAGTTGGCATCTGTGATGCGTTGTTTGCTTATTCAAGCCGGTTGCAAACAATTATATTTGGGGGAGTCTATAATGCACATTGTTTGTGGCATGGTGTCTTTTTTGTTTGTTTCTGGCCAATCTCAAGGCACCCGCAATTTTCTTCCCTGAAGCCCGAAGCTCTCCCTAAACCCTAAACTCCCCGCAACCCTAAACCCAGACTTTGCCAGGCTTGTCCGAGTGTGAGTGTCAAAAAACCCTAGAACCTCGAATTCCGAGCGCGAGAGTGAGAGTCGAAAACCTCGACTAGCAGCTTAGCTTTGTCGGTGTGAGTGCTGGATGGTCTTGAAGCCGTGCCTGCTCGTGCAAGCGTGCGATCGAAAACCTCAACTGGGTGGGTGGGAGGGAAGAAAACAAAGACAATCCTTAACCCTCAACCCTATACCCTGTGGAACCTCGCCTGGCTTGTCCGAGATTTGAGAGCGTAAAGCTCTAACTTGTGGTGGCTTCTCGCCAGTTTGCGAATGCAATGTCCAAGTAGCAAGCTCAGACCTTTGTTGCCATGCCTGCCTTGCGCGAGTGTGTGAGTCGCAAGCCTGAGCCCTACTGTACGATTGCTGCAGTACTACTGTGCTACTACTGTACTACTACTGCACTACTACTGTACTACTACTTTACCATTACTGTACTACTGCACTATAGCTGTAGTACTACTCTGCTACTGTACTACTACTGTACTACTACAGTACAGTACCAGGCCTCAGACTTGGTCGATCTTGGTCGATTGTGGAGGGGAGTGTAGATTAGAGGAAAGCCTTCAACATGAATGGTTGTTGGTCTTGGTACTTATCTTGGAGTGATCAGGGCTTGGCTGCGAGCTTTTGGTGATCCACAAACTCCACGACCCGGGCATTCACGGAGCACCGCAGACCCCCCACCCAAGCCCTCCAAAGCCCCAGAACCCCCCATAACATTTCTAAGTTAGTCAAAGCCACCCAGACACCAAATTAAAGAAGCTGCACACGAATGGTCGAGGTCCTCGCCTGTACTATTGTACAGAGGACAACTGAAAGCGCCAGTCTTGACGAACCACAAACTGGATGAGCTGTCCTTGATTCGGGTTTGTCGTTGCCGGAGGATGGTGCGCCAGGCAGCTTCTCAGACCGGCTGGACTCGATGATCTTTGAGATCAGCAGTCAGGCTGGTGCGACTCAGTGGTCACTCGACATTGAAAGCACCTCACCTCTTTACTTGTGCAGGCTGCCAGCGCAAGCCACGGGCCGCTGCAGATGGTGCCTTGCTGTGGAAAGACCTTCCGCATGTGCCCCTGAAGCCATCGCCCAAAACTTTGCATTTGCCATCCTCACGTGCCCGAGACTCCGGAGAAACAGCCAGCTTGTGGCTTATCGGTTCCATGTCTGCTGAGAGTGTTTCGCAAGGCAGATTTTCTTCGAGACAACACTGGACAAAGTTTCCAGACAGACTCGCCCGGCGCTTTGGATCTGGAACCTCGATGCAGAAAGCTGGGAGGGTGGCATTCTGGAGCTTGCAAGCTTCACGGGCTTGTGCACACGCTTAAATCCTCAATGTCCGTCTACTTCTTGTGACATGTGAAACCACAATTTCTGAGGACGTCGAGACCGGTGCAAGGAGACAGTCGCTTTTGTCCTTCATAGGCACGCGACGGAGCTGACCGAGTGTTCTGACACGGAACGTGCCAGTTTCGTGTATCCCAGGGGAACAAGGCGCAACGGCACCGGATCCGCAAGGTCGGGCGTGAATCGCTTGCCCTGACCGCAAGTTGCGCGAATGGCCCATGCATCACATCATGTACATCAAGGCCACCAGCGGCCCATTTCTGCATTACTGCACAATGTGTTGACAATGGGTTAATGTAACCAGCCTCCGGCGGCAAGCTCACAATCTTTGCCGGCAGTGCGCTAACTATTCGAAGGTGGTTTGCGGAACCTCGACTCCTTCTGTGTGAGTGCCGGTGACGGGCATCGTGCTAGCACCGATTGAGCTGAAGAAGAAAAGCTCACACCTTTTCACTTTGGGCAGTGCAGAGCCTCATGTAGATGGAGATGAACACTTCCAACTTCCAACACGCGCTGGCCGCGATGTCAGTTTATTCTCACTGGGTCTGCCCAGGCTTGGACAGCTTATCGCCCAGGAAGTGCAAACCTCGGTGGTCGTGTTTGCATAGCTGCACAGACTGTCGTGAATAGATTGCCGGCGTCAGGTTGCTGTCAGGGGATCGGCGTTTGAAGTTCAGAGACGAGGCTTTTGGTCCAGAAGGTGAAGTCAAAGAACATGGAAAAGAAACAACGGAAACCAGAGATGACGACACAATATAAGAGATCATTATTAATTAGCCAAAACGAAGGCTCAGAGCATGCGTGGGCGACCAGCTTCCCAAACAGGGCGGGTGCGAGGTGAAGTTGCCCAGTGCTTGACCAGATATTCAGCATGCGGCATGCATCGCTTCAAAGTGCTGACTGCGCATGAAACATGATGGTACCTGCACGCACGAATTGAAAGCTCGCAGCAGACGGCTGCTGAGTTGCCAAGAACACAGCAGCGAGCAAATTCAAAACATGCAGCCTGATTGGCCGTTTCACACCATTTAAAAGTGTCATTGTGATCGACTTGTTGACAGCAGCCGTTGTCTTGGAGCCTTTAAACAGCTCAGTATTCGCACCTACCACATACCGGCTCGTATCGACATCATGTTGCGTCTTGCCTGAATGTCCGTTCAAGTCTTTCTTAGTTTGCATCCTTTTCCAGGTCTGTCAGAATTCGTTTCGTGTCACTTCCATGCTCTTCTACAACCGTGAGCGTACACCTCGTGTTTGCTGCCAAAGCCTGGCTTAGGCCACCAATACGGCTCGAGCACCTGCAACACCAGGCCGGACGGCTGTTCGTTTATGCTAGCTTTCCTATATAGATTTCACTCTCGATTATTTCGGTGTTGCTCTCGGCTGTGGTCTCGACGCTGTTTCGACCAGGCACCTGCCACACGCCATTGATGGATGCCACCGCCACAGAGTCTGCAGTCTCCTGAGTGCTCATTGCCTCGGCCTCGATCGGCCTCGGGCTACGCCGTCTCGGGAACTGGTCGCTGAGGTGTCGCGGATGGACGAGTGTGACCCGCAAGGCTTGTCCAACCTGTGCTGAACCTCCGGCCTGCCACCCAGATGTGCATCCGAGGTGCGGCCGCGGCCAAAGTGCGTTCATGCGTTGGAATCACCTGCCATCTGCTGTTTTGTGGCTGTTGCCAATTTGCTTTATGCTTTGTTGCTACATGTTGTTGCCATGTTCTTGCACCTTGCTGGGTTGGCATGTGGCGGAGCACTCGAGGAACCTCGAGCATCCAGAGCTCCAATCTCATGGCAACAACTTCTTCCCACAGCATCGTGGGAGCCCTGACTAACACGAAGAGTAAGTCGCAAGACGTCAGCCCGCCCGCAGCGAGAGAGCGGCACCGCAATGGTAAGGCCAAGATCCAGAAGTCCAGCCCACAGAATCCTGGCAACTCTGTTCGGGACCTGGCCAAGGCTGCCAGCTCCACGCATATCCACGACTCGCATGGAGCGAAACTACTTCGAAGCGTGAGAAGTCATGCGTCCAACTCCTTCGACCAAGCCAGAGTAGCCATGACTATAGCGGCTTCTTTGCACACTTCGAGTGCATCACATGACGGTTGTGCTGCAGCCTGCTGTCAGGCGTCGATCCAGGACTTCCAGATGCTGCACGCTACCGCTGCCTGCTCGACTCTACGGATGGCCGAACTCCGGCCACAGGAGCGTCGTGTGCTATCCGAGCTGCTCTCACATTTCGTCCTTCGGAAGGAGATGTCCAACAGCGCACAGAGACCAACCAAGCTTGGCTTCCGCCGCTCGCCGCTGATGGATGCGTTGGCGACGGAAGTGGTCAAGGAAGTCTTCGTCATCTTTTGTCGCGGAAAGCCACATGCCAATTTGGACATTTGCAAGAGAATTGATGCCACCCTTGGCGCTTGTGGGTAAGGTTGATTGCATGGGATCTCTGATTTGAGGTATGCCCTGTTGGGCAGTAGATGCTTGCCCGTGGAGACAGAGCACTCTCGGCAGGACGTCGAAGAGTCGAATCCGCATGACCTCTCCGGCATCGTCTGATCTTTCGCGACGTTGAGCCACACAGGTCTTGGACAAGGGTCAAGAGACTGTGCTGAGCTGTCGAGCCACAACTCCTTGCTCGGCCGATCTCCAGGACACACATCCTTGCTGCAAGCCACTTCGGGCGCATCACTGCAACTGCTGGGACAGTTCAACTCCCAGGCGTTGTTGCTTGGTTGCTGTAGGATGAGGTGTTGCTCCTTTGGAATATGTCCCCGGATTCTCTGACGACAGGACTTGGCGAACAGCGCGCAGTCGTTCGCAACGTGCCGCTTCATGCACGGCAAGCATGTCTTGTCCAGGAATGCAACATGACATGTAACGTCGGATTCTTCGGAACTGCCTACAGTAAAAGTGGCTGCGGTGGTGACCCCAGCCATGTAAGACCCTCGGCATCGCAAATATGTGCTCACACGGACAGCAGCTTTTCGCTGCCAGGGGCTCGGGGACCATGGGCTCGCAGTCCTCAGAAGTGCTGGTGTTTGGCTCGGTCCTGGCTGATATTGATGTGCCCTGATGTCACTGCCTGCGGAGAACTTAGGCAGCAAGTTTTAGCAACCAGCCCAAGCTCTGCATGACCGTGACCCAGGTGAAGCTACCAGAGCTTGCGCCGCAAGGTTCCCGTGCAACTGCAACCTTGCAAGCATCGTAGTTGTTAGCGTCGCAACAAAGCGGAAGGCAACAATTGCAGTTGATAATTTCCAGCGCGCCCAGACAAGCTGAAACTTGGAGCTTCTCGGCTACTTGGGCTCAGAGTAGAGCTCAGCCCAGCCACTGAGCCCATCTTGGGACTCTGCGAGGCACCCTGGCTGCCATCTAGGCCCTATCGTACGAAGGCTTCTGCACAAATTTCGAACTAGAGCAACAAATTTCGGAACCAAGTGGCTTGGCCTGGCGGGCAGCAGCATAAGACTTGTGACTTGTTGTTGAGGAGGAGCTAGATCTGCCAGGCGTCCACGGTTCTGTCGCATAGGATGTTCCCTACAATTCTGCGGAGCCTCGCTGCCATAGGCCATGGCCGACCCGGCGGGAGACAGTGATGTACTGCCAGCTCAAGACAAGGTCAAGTTCACGGAGGCCGGGGCTCCCCTACCCGAGGACCCAGGGACTCGAGGTACATGGACAGCACAAGCTGGCATTGCACAACGAAACCTACTCCTACTACTACTACTACTACTACTACTACTACAACTGTAGTAGTAGTAGTAGTAGTAGTAGTAGTAGAGTAGTAGAGTAGTAGAGTAGTAGAGTAGTAGAGTAGTAGAGTAGTAGAGTAGTAGAGTAGTAGAGTAGTAGTAGTAGTAGTAGTCGTCGTCGTCGTCGTCGTCGTAGTAATAGTAGTA